ATTTATATTTTTATATTTTTAATTTATATTTTTAATAAAAAAAATCAAAAATTTTTTACTTTCAAGTTTATTTTAAATTTTTAATAAGAAAAAATTATATTCATTCAGAAATAATATTTATAACATTAATGTTCTGGTTGATATATATATGATTCATTTTAATTTTTAAGATTAATTTTCAAAAATTATGCATACTTTAAAAAATTCTTATTTGAATTTCTTTATTATTAAAATAAAAAAAATAATTCTAAAAAAAATAAACACATTTATTTAATACTTTTTAAATTTCATTAATAAAATGTAATATATAAATAGAGAATATAATTAAAAAAAGAAATTAATATCTTTTAAATTGAAAATAATAAAAATAAATATCAATGAAATTATCGATAGTCTCGTTCAATAAGTTGCACGTATAGTATTTGGGATAGTAGTTAGTAGACTGAGTCCGGTTTTCACGTTGCTAGTCGCATCAGCATGAATACAAAATGCAGACATGGGTTATTGGTTTTACAGCTTTCTTTAATACTTGATCAACTTCGATCTGGGCTCAGTCAATTGGGTAATAGATATGGATAGGAATGGCTTAACCTTAGTTATCAGTTATATCGTTGTCCGCAGAGGGTCGTAATCAGGATTTGGACATCAGCAAGGTTGGAATTAGAGTAATGGATGAACTAGTAAAGCCCCTAAATGAAGTGCAGATCGATGATACAGAATTTGCTTGCTTAAAGGCCATTGTTTTTTTCGATCCGAGTAAGTATAATAATTTTATAATAAATTTTATAATAATTCAAATAATATAATTATTAATATGAATTTAATATATCAATTTTTTTATATTTATATATCTTTTAAATTATTATGAATTCTATTTTTTAATGAATGTATATAATTAATGAATAATTATCTTAATTAATAATAATCATACCAATAACAACTTAATAAATATTATTTATATAATAATAATAATAATAATGTAATAAATAAACATCACAAAAATCTTGAAGTTACTAATTTTGTACAATGAAAAAAATAATAAATAATAATTTCAAGATATAAATTCTCTTAAAGTATAAAATCTTATCTTAAAGTATAAAATAAGTTTAAAAGATAATAAACAAATTAAAATATATTATCTTAAATTTATTTTAAGAAACTGATCATTTTTTGTCTTATTAATATATTTTAAATATTATATTTTTAAAGGATGAAACCATTGAGGAAAACATAATTATTCGATAAATAATAATTTATTGATGTATTAAATTCTTTATTCCTTTTTTTCTATTTACTTAATCTCCATTAAATTACCAACTTTTGCTCTACTATGTAAATAAAATTCTTCATTTTTAATAACTAAATCATGTATAATATTCAAAATGCAAAAAATGAACGTGAAATGCTTAAAAATTTTTTTATTGTCAAAATTGTCAAAAACATATAAATGTCTTTTCCGTTCCTTTATATATGTTTTCTTTATATATAAATATGAATAATTTAATGATCAATTTTAATAGCACAAATTTCTAAAAAAATCTAATAAAATGATTAATAAAAAATTTAAAATAGTAAAAAATAAAATTGACAGAATATATTCTTTTATATTTTGCAATATATAAATTAAATTATTATAAAAAAACAAATAGATTACGTAGCTGACAAATAATCAGATATCCAAAACAAACTTTTTTCGTCTATGTATATCTTTATCTAAGAATCTTGATAATATCTCATTGATTATGTCAATTTATATAAAATTTGTATGTCAATGAAGATTTGCCGGCACGCGAGAACGATTGTCTCAATAAGATTTAATTGATGATCGGTGCTGTTCAGCGTTGCCATGCTGAAACAAATGATAAACGAATGCAAACTTGCTCTGTTTTTTTATCTTACTTCCGATACTTACTTATAATACAAGTATCACTTGCGCAATTTATTTTATTTTGTTCGTTCCTGTTGACATTATTTTCAATATTATTATATATATACTTGATTATTTGATTAAAAATATAGAAACTTTTGTTTTATATTATTTAATTTAGAAAATAATATTTAAGTCAAAATATGCAATAAGAATATGAAGTGTTATGTTTTTTTTTTTTTTTATAAATCAATTCATTATATAAATTTAATGAAGTTTATATAGCATGTTAATTTATTCGTGAACCATCTTTAAAGAATCGATTCTAAAAATTGAAACAAATATAAAAATTTGTGTACAAAAATTAATTATTATTACGATTAATTATATATTATATTAATTATATTATTTATTAAACTACAAGTAATTGAAATTTGCGTTAAATAAAATGAAATCGCTCTATCTTCGTTTCATCATTATTTCTCTTCTCGCTTTATCCATTTTATTTAATATGACTTTTATACATAAATTATTTATAACTTAATAAATAAATCTCAACAAATGTAACATTTTTATATATGAATTTTAATTTATTCTTTGGGAATGATCATAATATATTATGCATACATGAATATATATATATATATGTTCTTAAATTCTACTTTCAATATACTATATATAATTTTAAAAACTTAAAAAAATTTTTTAAATATTTTCATTTATTTTTTTTATTGCATATTAAATATTGTTACACTTTCATATTATTTTATAATATTTTATATTATATTTTGAATTTTCTTTGAAATGTTACATCTGTAATATAAAAATATTAGAAATTTTTAACAATAAAAATATTAAATTTTAAATTATATTTTTAATTATTATTTTAATAATTATTAATTATAATAATCACTGATATAATA